GTCCCTTCAGGAGGTCAGAAATCATGGCTCTCCACAATTTTCTGTCCTTTGCAGCTCTTAATAAATTTTTTCTTTTTTTATATCTCTTTAATCCTGTCTTGCCATCCATTTTCAAAAGCTCGTTAAGTAGGTTATTCGTAGTTTTCCTCTGTACCTCATTCTTGGAATATGCCGTTTGAGTGTTAAATTTTCCATGTCCTCTTTCCTCATTAAGAGCCCTCGAAATGTCAACTATCACTTTGTGATATTAGGCATAAGTTTCCGTTTTGTTTCTGTTTTCTGTAAAATTTCGTTGTTGCTTTTTCTAATTTCAATATTTTGCTAGTATTTAAATATTATTTATAGCTTGACATTGGTAACATATTGTTGTATCCTTAAAGAAGTTACAAACAGACAAAAGTGATACTCCCGTGAAGGAACTGCAATACGCGCATAGATGAAAGAAGAGAGATTTATTGTAAAAGAGAATATACTATTGAAAGACAAGGAATCGGGTGGCAGCTAGTAATTCCCGAAGCAATGATATCTACCAACCGCCCCACACGGTCAGATGTGGCACAAGGCCGAATTTAACGTGGGGGTATCCGAGCCCGTAGGCTCGGTCAAAAATTGCCCGTATAAAACGAGGTCGTGTAGCTTTTTTCTCGAGAAGAGATTCTGCCCTTCGACATAGCCTCGTCTGGGGACCCTCTCTGCCCGGATGCAGAGAGTTCGACCAGCACAGCTGGAAACGAATCTCCAACTAATTGCCGAAGCAAGGATGTTTACCTACCGCCCGACGCGGTCAGATGTGGTACAAAGCCGAATTTAACGTAGGGTATCCGAGCCCGTAGGCTCGGGAAAAATTCCCCGTAGACACCATATACAAGTGGTCGAATATTTGTCTACAACCCCAGACAAAACTCTGCTCTTCGGCATAGCCTCGTTTGTGCTCGTCTCTGCCCGATAGAGTTCGACCAGTAGAGCTGGAGACGAATATCCAACTAATTGCCGAAGCAAGGATATTTACCTTACCTCCCCGCGAGGCAGGATGTGGTACAAGGCCGTTTGTTAATGCGGGGCAAAACCGAGCCTATAGGCTCGGGCAAAAATTACCCGTAGGCCCTGTTATAGTATTTAAATTGCTATTATATACGCTAATATTTACTCGGTGTAACAGCAAAATTTCCCAAATCGTGTGAAAGCAAAATGGTCCAATTGTTAGATTAAGCTCTGAATCGCTGTACCTTAGATATGATTATAGATAACTTACTGGAATTTTATTTTTTATAACAGTATTGGGCTCTACATTGTGCAATCCGAATATATAATTCTCTCCAAACTTAACAGAAGTATCGTGATGAAATCGATTATAAACGAAAATGACATGTTTATCATTATTAATGATAGCTAAGGATCGGAAGCTCATGAAGGATTGAAATAAAGTTTATATATATATATATATATATATATATATATATATATATATATATATATATATATATGTATGTATGTATTTCCAGGATCATTTTCTAACTTATTCAAGATGATCGTCGCCCTCTTTTGTCTTTTAACTTTCTGTCCTGAATAACAAGTTACTCACAGGTTTGACATATATTTTAGTTTCAAGTCTTTTTTTCACTGATCTTTGGACTATCGTAGCTGAAACATCTGTCTCACGTGCCAAACGTCTTAAAGATTGAGTTGGATCTTTTCTAATTGATGTCTTTAGCTGTAAATTGAAATGATGATCCCTCTTCTTGTTGGGATCGCTGGATTCAATTTTCCTCTCTATTATTTCCTCTTTTTTAAACTCATTTACCGGTCTCTTCATGGTTCTTGAATAGAATTTGAAGATGGTACAAATTACTGAAGGCTTGAATGATGTTTTCCTCTCACCATTGCTCAGTTGAAAAGAGAGTGGGTCTGGCACAAAAACGATTTTAACCTGTTCTCTTTCTAGCTGAATAACTCAAAGGGTTTTTTCTGTGATTCTTACGACAAATGGTGTCAAGATGGCTAAACGTCTTATATGAAAACCTGAAAAAAAGAAGTAACTCAATTAATATTAAATCAATTAGATATTAAACATTTTATTTGATAGACAATTATACTGTAACTCGATTTGGACAAGTTTGCTGTCACATCTTGTATATTATTTATGTTTGCTTTTATTAACCTGATAATTAATTTTCACAATATTTTAAAGGCATTTAAATCGTATTCATAGATTATAAAATTCACAATTTTTAAAATATATTTCCCTAGTATTCAAATCGCTTTAATAATTTAAGTTGATTATTTTTCTTGTATATTTTTTAGAGGTTCATAGGGGCACTGTGTGTATAATAGCCACAGTAGAAGTGGTGTTTTTTGGGCATGATAGAGGGAAGGATCCCAACCCTCTCCAGGCCGGTTTTGAATTCAGAGTTTTTCCTTCTCCTAGACAGGTTGCCACCCAATATTATAGAATCCAGTCTGTTCTGTTATTTACCCTTAAGAAGAAGAGGATTCATACCTTCCACAAGGGTATTAGCATTGTAAGTAAATGTAATGGATTCGACTAGAATTCGAACTCAGCTCTCTTCAATCCGAGCCGCTATTCATAACATCATGGTGCATCTCATTCTATGTATTACATTATTTTAAAAAAAATCATTATTTGAGCACGTAGCTTGAATATAGATATCTGGTGCTTGGTGCCAGAGAAAGGAATAAAAAATCATATTGGCGATTAAAAACTTTTTATAGGAAAAAAATATAATGCATATTAAAAGCATTTGAAAAGCAGGAGAAGAGTTTAATATCCAAACTACGTATAATATGATGGTTTTTGAAATAATCAACGACGCAAATGTGAGAAAACCAAGTACTGTTTCTCGCCGTATTTTGTGAAATCCCTGCAGTGTCGCTTTGGATAATGTTTCTTCTCCGTTGGTAGAATATCTTCTAATAATGCAGTGTTCCACCATTCCTTCTTGGACGTTTCATTTTATTTAATAGATGATAAACAGGCTATAGGTAAATAGCAAGACAGACCTTTCTAGCGCAGAAAGAAATGGCAACCTACTTCGGGAAAAATCTGCCTCGTCAGTCATGTATCGAAAGATGCATGATCATCTAAGCGTGTATCACGCATGGCAATGAAATTCACTTACATGCGAATACCCTTGGGAAAGGCATGAATCCTCTTCTTCTTCCCCCATCTATGGGTAAATAGCATGCCAAACCGGGTTCTATAGCCTTGGCTGGCAACTGGTCTACCGCAGAAAGAAATGCCAACTTACTGCGAAGAAAAAATCTGCCTCGTCAGTCATGTATTGAAAGATACATGATCACCTAAGCTTGTATCACGCATGGCACATAAATGACTGACAATGGTTAAATAGCAGGCCAGACCGGGTTCTATAGCCTTGGCTGGCAACTAGTCTACCGCAGAAAGAAATAGTAGCCTACTGCGGGAAAAACATCTGCCTAAGCGTGTATCACGCATGGCACCTAACTGACTGTCTGATAACCAAACAGACATTTCAAAAGTTGTGCAGTGATAAATTTAATGTGAAAAAATGTTAAGAAGCTCTGAAGCTTATAATGAAGTCGTGAAAAAGAACATTCCCTACGTTGACAATTATAAAGTAGACTTTTGAATTCATATGTCGTGACTGACTATTGTCAATCAACGTGTCAATTCCTTTTCTAATTCACACTATTGATTTGTACAATATTTTAAGGGATTAAATTTTATCGTTTTGCTAACCGTGTCTATGGATAACTCGTCTAGTTCTCATTGAATACAGCTCTGTTATATCACGTCCTGCTCCCAGCATCACCTGAAGCTTTGCTTCGTGGATCTTGGCGACATAGTGATTGTGGGTTAAATCTTTGTTCTGAACAGGGCAGACTTGAACTTAGTGGAAACAGGAGGAGAAATAACTGACCAGCATTAAGTAAGAACGATACATCCTCTGTAGATTAAATAAAGGGTCCTGTTCGATATTCCGTGAATGTTAACCGGACTGACAAGTTCCTGATGAAGGCTGCAAGGCATAACAGATAGGCTGGGATAATAACAAAAATGAGTAAATAGTCAAAATCATGTGAAACAATTAAATACAATTTTTTTTAATAAGAACCTCAATTTTAGCGTGCGTCCTATATGGGGAAACAGACCTGGATTCATGCTTGGGATCGACGAATCTCTCTGTGTGGGGTATGGGTTTCTCTCAATGTTAAATTTACAGTGCGTCTTATATGCTTGTGTTTTATACGCCACTAATAATGGCTATAAATAATCTATTAATAACGGAAAAAGCAAAGAAAGTTAGGACAGACTTGATATTTGGACACCTGAAGCTTGGGGAATGTCACACTTACACTAAATCCAGACATGTTATCTCGGCTTCAATCGTCATAATATAGCCTCCCTGTGCCTTTTCTATAAATTCTTTCATAGTAATGGTTCCGATGAGCTCTTCGCTATTTGTCAGGTAGACTTTATGAATTTAAGCGCAGTACTTGATTGGCGGGTAAGTCTCATCGTTTTACTGTTGAATTGGTTAGAGGTAACAGTAAGTTCTTTGCTAACAGTTTCTTTTCTCGCATTTCTCGCTTGTGGAACACTCTTCTGGGTTCTTGCTTTCAAGACAACTTAGATCTTCAGAAATTCAAATGCAATGTCAATCGTTATATACTGTCTTCTTGGTTATTTTTTTTTATTATTGCTCTCGCTCTTTAATAATGTTTTCTTTTTCTTATTCTTTCCCACTCGGTAACACTTTGTGTCTCAGTGGCTTTGTTGCCTTTCTTCAGGTGAAAAGATTTTTAAAAAAAGAAAAGAAACAATAAATAGCGAGGAACCTAGCTGACGAGATTAATTGAACGGATGACAAATAGGGCTAGTAAAACCGCAATAATTACTCAGAGCACCAAAAGCCAGAAGTTGGGGAGAGCCATAATCCAAATCAAAACTTCGAACCATCTCTCTAAAAGAAATAGATTAAGCAAAACGAAAAAAAATGGGATTAGTAGTACAAAGAAAAAAAGTAAATAAAAAGAAAGAAAGAAAGAAAGGAAGAAAGAAAGAAAGAAAGAAAGTAAATAAAAATGAATGAAGAAAGAAACAAAGAAAGAAAGAACGGAAGAAAGAAAAAAGAAAGAAAGAACGCAAGTAAAAAGAAGGAAAGAAAGTAAAAAGAAATAAAGAAAGAACGACAGAAAGTAAAAAGAAAGCAAGTAAAAACGAAAAAAAACGCAAAAAGAAAGAAGAAAGTAAAAAGAAAGAAAGAAAGTAAAAAGAAAGAAAGTAAAAAGAAAGACAGTAACAAAGAAAGTAAAAAGGAAGAAAGATAGAAAAAAAGAAAGAAAAAAGAAAGAAAGTAAAAAGAAAGAAAGAACGAAAGTAAAAAGAAAGAAAGCAAGTAAAAAAAAGAAAGATACAAAGAAGGAATGAAAGTAAAAAAAGAAAGATAGCAAGTAAAAAGAAATAAAGAAAAAAGAAAGAAAACAAGAAAAAGAAAGAAAGCGGGTAAAAAGAAAGAAAGAAGGAAGGAAAGAAACAAAGAAAGTAAAAAAGAAAGAAAGAAAGTGAAAAGAAAGACGTTGAGAAAGAAAGTAAAAAGGAAGAACAGAAATCCAATGAATAAACGTTTTAATCGGAACCAATAGCTGATAAATTCAGTTAGTAAATAAAAAATATTCGCAAACATCAACGACACCAAATATTTAGCGCACTGGGGCAACACAGACAAAATGCAATCAATTCCTGAGAATTTCACAAAAAACACGGTCTTTATCTGTCCACCTATTTTTTTCTCATTTCATCAGAAATACTTTTGTTTAGGATTTGAAAGAAAAAATATTTTCGTGTTGAACGCTTACAGCTCACAGTGGCAATAACAACAATGAATTGCTGGCGTTTTTATGCAAATGATCTCGTTTATATACGCATGCGTACGGGTTAAAATGAAGCACAAAGGTCGCTGGTAAGGGAATTAAGAGGAATTAAGGAAATATTTTTCAAGAAATGAAAGAAAATAAAGAAATTATATAGAAAGAATCATATAAAAATGAAATATTTCAGGAAATAAACAGATCCATATAACGCAGACTGCAAAATATGTAAAACAACAGAAGATAAATATAAAAATGATGGCTGAAAAGAAAGGGAACGACAAATCCAGAAATGGGTAACCGAAAAGACGAAAGAGAGAAAAATTATATATAAATATATATATATATATATATTGAAAAAAGCGAGAAGGAAATAAAAGAATAATAAAGAATGGAAAGGAATAAAAAAAAAAGAAAAGAAAGAAAAATGGAAATGGCAGAGAGAGAAGACAAGTAGAGAATGAGAATAATTACGGATTTAAATTGAAAATAAAAAACAAACCAAAAACATAATTTAAAATCTGAAAAGAAAATATCAAAGAAAATAATGAAAGGAGAGGAAAATACAGAGAGAATATTTCGGTGATTAAACCAAGGGAAAATGACAAGAGACAGGAAAAGAAACAGAAAAACCAAGAGAATAAAACTTAATGAAAGACGAATGCGGAGAGAGGAAAAAAGAAAACTAAAGGACAAATTTTGAGTAAAGATTATTCTACGAAACGGGGAAGATATATTGAAGAATACAAGAAGAAAATTCTTTGGCATCAATCAAGCAATGTGGAAGAGGAGTGGATGCATTAAAAGATCATAAAATGATTTGTACACTGTAAAATCGTCAATATGAATATTATTAACTATTGGTATAGGCTGTCTATATAAGTCAACTTAGAAAAATGCTGTATTTATTGAACACACGAGTCAAAATTGTCATTTTCAAATGAACACAAATGTGTACATGCATATAAGAAGCGATTAATGTACTCGGATATATATGGAGAGTGAAAGTGATAGATAGATAGATAGATAGATAGATAGATAGATAGATAGATAGATACAAAGAGAGGGTAGATAGATAGATAGATAGATAGATAGATAGATAGATAGATAGATAGATAGATAGATAGATAGATACCAAAGAGAGGATAGAAAGATAGATAGATAGATAGATAGATAGATAGATAGATAGATAGATAGATACAAAAGAGGGTAGATAGATAGATACAAAAAGAGGATAGATAGATAGATAGATAGATAGATAGATAGATAGATAGATAGAAAGAGTGGGTAGATAGATAGCTACAAAGAGAGGATAGATAGATAGATAGATAGATAGATAGATAGATAGATAGATAGATAGATAGATAGATAGATACAAAGAGAGGATAGATAGATAGATAGATAGATAGATAGATAGATAGATAGATATTAGCTGTTTTCTTTCACGACATATCAACCTCAATGTGTTATTGCATGCCGACAAAATTTTTATTGGTGATAATATTTTTTTCAAAAATATATTGCAAGTAATAATTCTTTTCCTTCAAAATTCTATGTCTGGTAATAATTTTTCCTTCAAAAAATTAATTTCTGGTAGTATTTTTTTCAAAATATATCACTGGTAATATTTTTTTCAAAAATATATTGCTGGTAATAATCTATTGCTGGTAATAATTTTTTCATCAAAAATTTATTGTTGGTAATAATTTTTACAAATTATTTCTGGTAATAAAACCTATTTTTACACTTTCAGAGTGTTTTGAGCCCAGTTTGGTGGTTAACTAATTCCCCATAGCTGGGACCGTAACAGATGCTACAACCCCGGGTCAGGGTGGACCTAGGAACACCAGCAATTAAGAGGTTGTTCCACGCTCCACAATCCTCCTGATCAAAGGCCTTGCTGTTGGACGTAGTTCATCGTCTTACCCATGACGCGGATGTAGTTTATCGTCATACACAGGACGGTGAAAGATCTGAGAATATATATATATATATATATATATATATATATATATAGAGAGAGAGAGAGAGAGAGAGAGAGAGAGAGAGAGCGAGAGAGAGATCACACACATATATATAGTAGACAGCAATAGAGAGATCTATCGATAGATAGGTAGCTAGACATTATATATTAACTGGCTAAAAGGTCTGAGAATATATATATATATATATATATATATATATATATATATATATATATATATAGTATAATGAGAAGTTACGTATACTTTTTTAATATGTATATATAGAAAAAAGTCTCAAATTAAAAATAATAATGTTTTATTTTATGAAAGTATTTATTTATTTATATATATATTTGATATTTCAAATTGTCCTCAATTTTTCATCAGAAATAACTGTTTGTTACAAATAAATTGAAATTACTGTTTGTTAGCAAGTAGCGTCCTTCGCGAGACGGGGACGTTGATGATATGGAACATCACTATTCGGATATTCCTAACTTAAATCGAACTGTCATAAATATTATAAATGTTATTTAAAAAATTTTTTTACTATATCTAAAAAAATTTCTTAACTATTGAAATATTTATAATGATTTAAAACACTTATTTTTTTAGAGGAGAGAAGTGTGTTATGATTTATCAGGATAGTTTTATAAATCGTAAACACACTTCTCACATACAAGAAAATAAAACAACAATCGGATTCCCATGGTTTTTAACCACAATCAATATTCCCACACACTTATTCACAATTTAAAAATGATTACAAGAACTCCAATTAGACAACAAGATCAAAGACATTTTCGATAAACCACCCATAAATGCAAAGAAACAATCACCTAACCTATCAGCTATCCTCACCTCTACCAAATATCTAAACAATAGAAACTAATCAGGAAATTAAAAATGTAAAAAACCCGTTGCTTAGTTTGCAAGCATTTTAATAATAGCTAATATATTTTCTGTACCCAACGCCAATATCAGGATACAGCCCTAACCTCACCTGTGGATAGCCATAACGTAATCTATTATTTATTCTGCAACTTATGTCGTAATAGTGGATATATTGGTGAGTCTGGAAATAATTTTAGATTTCGTTTCAATAACCATAAACAAACAATACGTCAAACAACCTTTATTCCCCCATAGCTAAACACTACAATCAATCAGGACACACATTAGAAAACTGCAAATGTTTATTGATAGATTCCGATTTTACTTCCACGTTCACACGCAAAAAAAAAAAAAACATATTGATTTTAAAATTAAATACACATAAACAGGGGTTGAATAGGGACTTAGGTGTTTTAAATCATTATAAATATTTCTTAATAGTTAAGTTAATTTTTTAGATATAGTAAAAATTTTTTTTTTAAACAACATTTAAAATATTTATGACAGTTAGATTTAAGTTAGAATATCCGAACAGTGACGTTCCATATCACGTGACGTCCACGTCTCGCGAAGGACGCTACTTTGCTAACAAACAGTAATTTTAATTTATTTGTAAATAAAACAGTTATTTTTTGATGAAAAATTGAGGACAATTTGAAATATCAAATATATATATAAATAAATAAATACTTTCATAAAATAAAAACATTATATTTTTTAATTTGAAATTTTATTATATATATATATATATATATATATATATATATAGATAGATAGATAGATAGATAGATAGATAGATAGATAGATAGATAGATACACACAAAGATAGATCATAGAGGGAGAGATAGAGAGAGAAAGATAGAGAGAGAAATTGATATGCGATGTTGGAGAAATACAAATACGTCATATTTGCAATATAGGGCTTTGATGTAAATGCATTCCTAATTATTTTACTGGAAAAATGCATTAAAAATCAGTAGTCCGGAATATTGATTCTCAGTTGTTCAGAATTAATGCAGCCATGGTCATGTGCTCTTGTTATTTAGAGATTCTTGGTAAAATCCAAAGAAGAATCTGCAATATTATTGGTCATGGCTTAGACTCTCGGCTTCAGTAACTTCCCGACGCCTTTTCTATAAATGTTTTCATGGTAATTATTCGGCTGAAATCTTCGCTATGATATCTAGACTTTAGGAATTCAGGAGATTGGAATTTCGGACGGAACCCTTTATTTCGTCCATCGGGGTAGAGTGTTTTAGTTCCACGTGCCATGCCACTTCCGGATGACGTATGTCTTAGTTATCTCTCTTTAACACAATTTTCCTTTAACCTAACACTCCAAGTTTTTGTTAACCTCTGCAGTAGCCAGCTTTTAGAACACACAACACTTTGGGCCAGGCCAATGGATGCGATCGACGCATTTATCCACTAGGCCATGTCTTATTAGTTAACAAACAGCACTATACACTAGCTATAAATAACTACATTCTGACCCACAATTATTTTAACTCAATAGTGATTAGAATAATTTGAAATAGCATAACTTGCCATACATAATGCGCCATTGACCAGATTATATAAATAGTTTAGCTAGCACAGAAGCACATGGCCGGAATATTGAAGTAAAGCATGAAAAAAATCTGTTATTATTCTGTGCTGACCTCAGTGTCCACTGTTATATTTACACGTATATATATATATATATATATATATATATATATATATATATATATATATATATATATATATAAAAGTGAACATAGAAATCAACACTAGAGGCGACAGTCTGTTTCATGTTTTTCAGGCCTGAGAATTGCATCCAGCATGAAACAGACTGTCGCCTCTAAGTGTCGACTTCTTTTATATTTACACACGCTCTATCTCAGATATTGAGCACTTTATCCCACAAATATAGCACATCCTAAGACTATATATATATATATATATATATATATATATATATATATATATATATGAATTCCATTTATTTAAAAATATGATTCCATCGCTACACAGGAATTACCATGTTTCAAAAACAGAAGCTAAAAACTTCAAATTCAGTTATAGAACTAAATTAAATTCCCTAGTTCTGTTTCATTTTCAAGCGAATTTTGGAATAACTTATTTTGAAATTTACTGAGATTTATAAGCACATACATTAGTTTCTCTTTATTATGTATATATATATATATATATATATATATATATATATATATAGCGAGAGAGAGAGAGAGAAAGAGAGACAAATAGAGAGGACGTCATTTTAACTTGATGAGGCACTTTCGGCTAACACTATCAAAAAAAAACGTTGGCGTATAGAATAAATTAATTCATGACAAACTCATAAATAGCGAATGAGAAGGAAGAATGGAACACGATTAAAATAGGTTTTAATTGTAAACAAATTGACGACTAAAAACAAAATAAAAGGTTGCAAATAGAGTATAATTTGTCATTGTAATCGGCGGCACAGTCAGGATGTTGCCCAATCTAAGATCCGTGCTCAGATTGAGTTGTCCTTTTCAAATGGCTCCGACCACTTGAACGCAATTAGGCTGGCACCTGTTGCGAGTCACATGAAAAGAACAACTCAATATATGAACGGCTCTTCGACTGGGCAACATTTATTGAACAATCCTGACTGTGGTGCCGATTGAAATGACGAATTATACTCCTTTTATTTAGTTTTTAGTTGTCAGTTTGTCATGGTAGGGAATGCACTTGCACTTCACCTCAGTGGAACTCCCTTCCTCTTATTTGCTTGCCTGATAATTATAATTTTAAAATATTCAAATGCAATGTCAATCGACATCTTCAGGTGCCTTGATCTGATACACCGTCCGTCCTTTTCGTCATCCTTTCCTCTATCACGCTTCTTTACTCTCGCTCACACTCCCTGTAACCCTCTGCGTGCTAGTGGCACTCCCGCCTTGCTTGGAGTGAAATGCTTTAAAAAAATACCATGGACCGAACATATAAATAATATCGAGAAAAGTGGAAAAAAAACCCCCCCCCCAAAAAAAAACCCACTTTTAATTAACACCAGAAAGAGACAATTGATATTTTGGGGAAAATAATGAGGACAGAAGGTTTGGAAAATATGATCCTCACAGGACTAATTGAGGTTGGGCAGACGAAAACAACGCATAACCTAACTAACCTGCTTGAGTAAATGCATAGTAGAACAGGGTTTAAGAGAGTAACAAAAATACAAAAAATATTAAGAGTTACAAAGGACAGGAAATTGTGGAGAGCCATGATCGTCATCGTCCTGAAGGGCCACGCCACATAGAAGAAAAAGTAGAGAATCGAGCATTATTCAGTTAAAATTTAAAATGAAAATTCAACTGTGTCTGTCTGTGAATGTATTTTACATATAGGTAGGTACAGTGTAACCCGGATATAAGAGAAACCCGGATATAAGAGAGATTTTCTCTGGTCCCAAATTAGAGCCTGTGTTAATGTATATAAAATAGACCAAACCCGGATTTAAGAGAAACTCGGATATAAGAGACTTCTTCTCCGACAACTCTCTTATATCCGGGTTACACTGTACATGTATTTAAATTTATGCGAGTCTGTATATGGACAGACTTATTTAAAACGATTCAACGCTGAGAAGCGAAACGAACAGAAAGTAAGAGATGGGGTGGGTGACGAAAGGGTAAATACATAAAAGATTACAGTTATCTTTTATAGGCCAAAAGAGAATCAAGATAGAAATTTTAGAAAAAGATAAAGAAAAAAAAAAGAAATAGAAAAAAAAAACCCTTTCCCATTTTCACCTCCTCCTCTTTAAGCTGACTTAGAAAAGAAAGCCTAAATGAAGTTAATGTAAAAATGCTAAAAACCGAAGACGAAAAATCTACCGGAGACAGTTTCCATGTCGGTTCACGTGAAGGGGCGAGATCTCGTTATAGCAACGCCACCTATGGCGAGATCTCAAAAAATGCTAATTATCGGTATTCCCGCAGGAAGATCTTGTCTTTGCGTTGCATTTAGGGTTTTTTCGCTGTGTTTAAGTGCAGATATTACACGCCCGCTTCGTCATGTTTCTTACTTTGTTATGTTTTTTATTATTAATTATTTCTCTTATTTCCTGATTTTTTTCTTCATCCTTTACCTCTTCCCTCTCCTGCGATAGTCACGTAGCAGGCATTTCTGTTACAGTGGCGATGAACTAAAGCCTACCGTTTATGTTCGACCGATCGATTTGAAAACTTTTGGAAAGCTATGTTTTTGGCTGTGAAAAAATGGCGACGGTTTTCTCCTCTCCTTTCGTACCGACAGAGGTTCCAAATTTTCCTTATTGGAATTTCTAATTTCTCGCAGACTCTCTCTCACTGTTGTGTTATTCTCTTGTGTGTGTGTGTTTTTTTTTCTTTACGTCTGTTATTTTCGTTTCCCAATCTTTTCCCCATCAATCATTCTTCACTCGCTTTTTGTTTAGTAGCAGTCTTGTGGTTTTAGCTGACATTTTCGCTACATTTAGACAAGCGATACTCTCTTCTAATGAAACAAAAAAAGACCCCAAACACTAAAAAACGAGAACGAAAAAAAAAATTATACTTATACACTAGTATATGAGTAGGGTTTTAAAAACGAACTTTGAAAATGGAAAATCTGGTCCTTGACAAATACATTAATAAACGCTTCCATAACTTAGATTATAGCGATTTTCCAAGCGTAGCTTTGATATGGCACGAGGCCGAAAATGGAGGCACCCAATGGAGATTGAGCTCACTGCCCAGTCGTAATTGTTCTAGCAAAACAAGCTTGCTAACCATTACACCGTCTCGTGGTGACCCCATAGCTTAGATTATATTCTCGTACCTGGGCACCTTGAGGCGGTGTAATGGTTAGCAAGCTTGGCTCGCTAGAACAATTACGACTGGGTAGTGAGTTCGATCCTCACTGGGTGCCCCCTAATTTCGGCCTTGTGCCACATCTAAGCTACGCTTGGAAAATCACTAAAATATCAAGAAATACAGCTCAAGATAAACCTTTCCAAAACAGAAAGTCTGATCTGGAATTGAAATAAAAGCAATGATGTCACATACGCTGAATCGTCTACTAAAAATTAATGAGGAATTCAGTAAATCAGTTATGTGCAATGCGTGATACACACCTAGGCGATCATGTATCTTTCGATACATGACTGACGAGAGAGATTTTTTTCCTGTAGTAGATTGCCATTTCTTTCCTCAGTAGTCCAGTTGCCACTTAAGGCTATAGAATCCGGTCAGCCCTGCTATTTACCCATAGCTGGGCGGGGAGAGAAGAAGATGATTCATACCTTTCCCAAGGGTAGAAGCACGTAAGTAAAAGTAATAAATTCGACTAGAATTCGACTCTCCGATTCCTCAATCCGAGTCGCTATCCTCTACGCCAACGTTTTATCGCCATTTTCTTTAAGACCTCCTTCATATGCCGTAAAACAAAATAACCAACCAACGATAATTATTTAGATATTATGTTTCTGTAACTATTCAAATTTTGAATGTATAACTAATTCTAAATGTGGTTTTCCCATCTTTACACTACATTAATTTTATCTTATAAATTGTCTCCTGTTATCACTTAAGAGATAAAAATAATTGTTTATGCAGAAAATGCAGTGATCAAATTTGAGTTCTGTAGTTTATTCACACCAAACTTTCCGCCATCTATTCGAGCAAGTTCATCAGGTACGTGGCTTGCTGCTTTTCGCTATGTTTCTTGATCTCGATATTAAGTATTCCAATCACCTCTTCGTCATTATGTCCAGTGAGTTTCAACCCACCCTTCTGATTCTGAGTATCAGTTATATGTTCCATGAGTGATACACGCGTAGGCCATCATATATCTGTCGATATATGACTGGTGAAGCAGATTTTTTTCCCGAAGTAGGTTGGCATTTCTTTCTGCGGTAGACCAGTTGCCATCCAAGGCTACAGAACCCGGTCTGTCCTGCTATTTACCCATATATGGGGGGTGAGAAGAAGAGGATTTATTACCTTTCCCAAGAGTATTAGCACGTAAGTGAATTTCAGTTAGTTATGTGTCATGCGTGATACACGCTTTGGCGATCATGTATCTTTTGATATATGATTGACGAGGCAGATTTCTTCCGGGCAGTAGGTTGGCATTTCTTTCTGCAGTAGACCAGTTGCCATCCAAGGCTATAGAACCCGGTCTGTCCTGCTATTTACCCATAACTTGGGGGGAAGAAGGGATACATACCTTTCCCAAGGGTATTAGCAAATAGCAAGTAAATGAATGTATCCCATACTGTGATAATAGAAGATCTGCCAGGAATGGTTAAATATTGTAGAAGTTTTTCAGTTTAGGATTGGGTTTTCGGTTCCTTCTAAATTCTCTTCCATTTCTAGTAACCCCTTTGCGTCTTAGTGGTGGTATCGCCTTGCTTGGGGTGAATTGATCAGTCAGTTATGTGTCATGCGTGATACACGCGTAGGCGATCATGTACCTTTCCATACATGACTGACGAGGCAGATTTTTTCCTGCAATAGTTTGGCACTTCTTTCTGCGGTAGACCAGTTGCCATCCAAGGCTACAGAACCCAGTCTATCCTGCTATTTACCCATAGCTGAGGGGAGAAGAGGATTGCCATTCAAAGCTATAGAATGCGGTCTGTCCTGCTATTTACCCATAGCTGGGGTGGTGGGGATGATAAGAGCAGGATTTATACCTTTCCCAAGGTTATTAGCACGTATGTGAATGTAATAGATTCGACTGGAATTCGAACTCGGCTCTCCGATTCCTCAATCCGAGTTGCTATACCCTACACCACCGTTTTATCGCCATTTTATTTAAGACATCCTCGTTGCTTACTCGTTCCATCCGGGAATTCTCAGTATCCTTCTGTACGACCACATTTCTGTTGCCTATAGTTTTATCTTCATCCGTCCAGCATTCACTGTCATATAAGAGGATGGATATCACATAGCATTTCCAATGTTTCTGTTTTGTAGCTCTTTGATTAGCTATTGCCATGGCTTCTTTCTTTAGTACTATGCGTGCTCGAATTTCAATGTCACTGTCCTCACTATTTACCAAACTCCCCAAAAGGCGAGATGTGGCAGAAGGCCAGTTTTTAACGTGGGGCGTTCCGAGCTCGTAGGCTCGGGCAAAAAAAAAAAAAAAATTGCCTGTAGACCGCGTATATACAGTATTGGATTTGTCTACCTCCCGAAACGTGACTGCCCTCCAGCATCGCCTCCTCTGGGTTCCTATCCGCCTGGAGGGAAAGAGTTCGACAAGAAACGAAGAGGAAGAGAAAGCGTCTGTTAAAACTCTTCTCAGATATTTAAAATTCTACACCTGCTTGACATTTCCAATATGAAATTTGTATCTTGGGCTTTTTCTCTTTCTGATGACCAGACTCCCGGTCTTCATGCACTTGATAGTCTTTTTTTCTCGCTTTCTTTTAGTACCGTTTCTAGGAGATCCTGTATTTCTTAAGAGATTCGAGCCTTTCTTAACAGGTACGTTCGGATATATTGACTAATATAAAAATTAATCATCAATTTATCTGACATTCTCACTGAACTGTCATATAGCGTGACGTGCTCTACTATTTAGCTACAGAGGAAGCGTTTGGTTAGCAAGGTCGATTTACTTCTTTTTACCTACAAATTTCCCGTAAATTATCTCGATTTCGTTTCTGTTGTACAGAAATACAGGTTCGATTTCTGTCGGATGACATATTTTCTATTAAATTTCTCGGACATTCAGGTCAGTAAATGTTGTTAGTACTATTTATTATAAAGAGTGCGTTCACTTAAATATTTGTATTTGGAAAAATAGCGCATAAACAGAAAATATATTAAAATAATTGTCGGACAGTTTAAAATCTGATATATTAAATGTAATCCGACATTTTGGGGACAACTTTGTATTTAAAATTAATACGTTTTCTTTAGTTTAATTAACTTCTGTTAGGTTAGGTTGTTGAGACTAGCAACTCATTACTGTATGGGATACAAATTTTGGATAAATTTTTGGTTATTTAAAATTTGAAATCCGCCAACCTTAAGTTTACCATTAGCTAGCAAAATGAGCTAAATTTTAAGGAAATTTTATACAATAACGGATTAATTTTGCTTCAGCCTCAGCCCAACCTTTTTAATCCGACACTCAGTGGACTGGCATCTGTTGTTAATGCTGTTTATTATCAACATAGTATTTACTTAAATATTTGTATCTATAAAAATAATGTATAAACAATAAATATATTAAAATAATTGACGGACTTAGGTAAACAGTATTATGTCAGTATCATAATAGCGGATCTGTGATTCATTTAATAATAAAATTCATTAAATTCATCTTCAATATTTTTATTTTCTTAATTTCTATTATAATACATTTATTAGAAATTTTATTTATTAAAAGTAATAATAATAATAATGGTAATAATAATAACATAATAATAATAATAGTAATACTACTACTACTACTAATAATAATAGTAATAATAATAATAGTAATACTTTACTACTACTACTACTACTACTACTACTAATAATAATAATAATAATACTAATAATAATCATGGTAATAATAATGGTAATAATAATAACAGTAATAACAATAATAGTAATACTACTACTACTAATAATAATAATAATAGTAATAATAATAATACTACTGATAATAATAATCATGGTAATAATAATGGTAATAATAATAACAGTAATAAATAATAATAGTAATAATAATAATAGTAATACTACTACTACTAATAATAATAATAATGGTAATAATAATAGTAATAATAATAATAGTAATAATAATAGTAATAAAATAATAGTGACAATGATAGTAGTAATAATAAAAATGATAATAATAATAATAATAATAATAATAATGATAGATGTTTTGCAGGTTAAGAAGAGTGTGTAAATGGCGGGCGGAAACATTTTAAACATTTGGGCGATTGATATATTTATTTTTCATATGTTTATTATTGATACAATTGAATAATGAATGCGTTTTCTGCGCACATTATGGTTTTCATTACTGTGTACCTACTTTTGCACCACCTGCATATAAAATGGCGCTAAATTCATAGTCTTTGAACCAAACAAAAAAATATTTTGCGACGATGATCACTCTGAGACCATTTCGTTACCGTCTCAAATATAGGAGATACTACTCAAAATTTTGGGAAATTTGGCCAAGAAACACAAACATAGTGTCCACCATCTTCTATGCAATCATTTTTCAATGGCTCAAATAAGATATTGTTCATAAAGACCAAAGTTCGTATTGGGTTCGATTGATGCTGTACAGACTAGCTGAACATTTAAAAGGCTCGTCGCATATAACGAAGTGTCTCTATCTGAGTCTTTTAATATATTTCTTTCTATCTGTCTGTCTATATGATCTCTGACATGGTCTATGCGTCCTACTTCTGGTCCAGGTACGATGCAGCCTCACAATGAAAAAATAAAAGACGAAAGAGACATGCAAATAAAACAAAAATCTGCTAAAAGCCATTTAATGTCTTACAAAAAAAAAATAAGAATTAAAAACAGAAGAAGAAAACGTGCTGAATTGGACTAAGGCAGCCTCAAGCAATTTTCTTAACTGAAATTGCCGTTTAACAGCCAAAGTATCACTGAGATCGCTACAATTAGAGAGACAAGCAGCTGGTGGTTACCTGAAAAGACGAGAAAATCAGACCCATCCTATATTGCAAGCATGGCTGTTAACTGCGAAGCTTTTAAATGTACATCTATTAGCTTTTCTTTTAGATCTTTCACTCTTTCGTACGAAGACAGGAGGGATGAGCAGGAACCTGCAGGTCGGTTTGCAGAAGGGAAATATCGAACGTCGTGGGTTACATTTTCATGTTTGGAGGTTCGATAAAACTTCTTTTTTTTATTCTTTTCTAAGATAAAAGTCGAAAGGCATTGAATTTTACTTAAACGTGACGTAGATCTGCTGGGATCTACGCTAAGCCGTTCATGGAAACTTTCAGGGGTCCGATGCTTCGGGTGTTTCGAGCAATCCATTACGTGAAGATTGTGACTGTTTCAAGCCATGTTTATTGAAACGCAACGCAGATTTAACGTGGATTCAGGATCTCAACGATTATTTCAGCCATTCATGGATTTACTGTTTATATTTCATGGTGAAATTACTATTTTCATTCTGATTTTATAGATTCCCTCTTTTTAATATATTTTTTATTTGCCTTTCTTTTTCTTTCTTTAATTTTCTTTTATTATTTTTCTAGTATTTCTTTCTTTCTTTCTTTCTTTCTTTCTTTCTTTCTTTCTTTCTTTAATAACAATGTTTTCCCGCTCTAATACCTTAGACAATTTCCCATTGTGAGCCCGTTTTCTTTTTCTTTCATTAATTTTCATTACTCTTTTTTTCTTTCTTACTTTTTTTCTTTCTTTTTTCTTTCTTTCGTTTTTTATTTCTTTCATTCTTTCTTTTTTCTTTCTTTCTTTTTTCTTTCTTTTTTTTCTTTGTTTCTTTGTTTCTTTCCTTCTTTTTTCTTTCTTTCATAACTATGTTTTCCCGCTCTAATTCTTTAGTCAGTTTCCCATTGTGAGACCATTTTCTTTTCTTTCATTAATTTTCATTAATTTTTTTCTTTCTTTCTTTTTTCTTTCTTTCTTTTTTCTTTTTTCTTTCTTTCTTTTTTTCTTTCTTTCTTTTTTCTTTCTTTCTTTGTCGAAAACTTATTACAACTTCTAATGTAGTCTACATTTTCCATTTTTCTTCTCTTTTGCAAAAACTGAAATCTTGGAACAATCCTATTAATCTTCATTCTTTTCTTTTCTTTTTCCTTTTGTTATTTCCTTCTCCATTGACGGTTCCGTTTTCTTACCTATTCTCTTGTTTCCTCATTTGCTATTTTTTTCCTGCACTGCATTCTCCAAGAAACCCTGGATTCTGAACTCTTTCAAAAACCCTTTTACACTTTCTTCTTCTTCTTCCTGGTTTGTTTTGCATGTTCGCTTCAGGAATTTATTCATTAAGGAATCCAGCTGTTGGGCTTAACTCGAAATTCACCGAATGACAAAGGAAAGATTTCACAAGTAAAAGTAAAAAAAATGAAAACAAATTTAAAATCAATGTTAAAATGTAAGTAAGACAAATTGGAGGTTTATTCTACTAAAGTAATTGTAAGGCTCTTCGTCTTTTGTGGACGACAGTAAAATCTGCACCCCTTCCATCTCTCTGTTTCTTTCTATTTATCAGTTTGTCTGTCTGTCTGTATCTATTCACGTCTATATCAACTCTACCAGTTTATTCATATCTATCTATCTATCTATCTATCTATCTATCTATCTATCTATCTATCTATCTATCTCTACATAATGTCTCTCTCTGTCTATTCATATCTATCTATCTATCTATCTATCTATCTATCTATGTCTACATAATGTCTCTCTCAGTCTATTCATATCTATCTATGTATCTATCTATCTAGGCCTACATAATGTCTCTCTCAGTGTATTCATATCTATCTATCTATCGATCTATCTATCTATCTATGTCTACATAATGTCTCTCTCAGTCTATTCATATCTATCTTCTTCCTCAGTCTGTCAATCTATCTATCTATCTATCTATCTATCTATCTATCTATCTATGGTCTACATAATGTCTCTCTCAGTCTATTCATATTCATTCATCTATCTATCCATCTATCTATCTATCTATCTGTGTCTGCATAACTATCTATCTCAGTCTGCAAAATCTATTTCAATTTGTCTATTGTATATATATATATATATATATATATATATATATATATATATATATATATATATGCAGCAACTGAATCATTCTCTGTCTATTCATATCTATTACCTTCCCTATCGACCCTATTTTATTTGTTAACGATCAAGAAGAAAAAACTACTGATGAATTTTCTTAGTTTATCGTTGAGATAGTTGTTCTGCTTTTATCGCAGCCAATAGAGATCATTAGTGAATTTATTTTGCCAGCGTCTATTCACCCCCCAAAATCTGGCAATTCACTAATTATCTTCATTGTTTTGAAAGAAACGACAAATGACTAACATTGAAGTGAATTTATTTACAATCAATTAAGCTGTAATCCTTTCATTAAAATTACAATGGAACCTGAGAATTAAAAAACGGCAGAAGAGTGGGCTAGCCGATGTTCAATTCTATTGATTAAAGTTATTTGTACGAAATTACGCGGAATATATAGTGTGAATTAATGGCGAAATACTTTCAAAAGGTTCAAGGATTGAATCGTAGATTCTTCTTTTATCTCTGATGCACTGTGTCCCTTCAGGACGTCGGCGATCATGTCTCTCCACAACGTCCAATCTTTTGAAGAGCTAAACAATATTTATACCTTTACTATTACTCCCTGTTCTTATTCGGTCGGTCATATACGCAAGCTCATTCGGCATGTTACTCGCTGCTTCTCTTCTGCACTTCTTGAGTTCAGTACGTCTTGTGAGTGTCAAATTCTCTAAGCCTTCCTTCCTCAATATGTATTGCATTAATTTCAGCTGCCATTTTTTCGATCATGGGTCGGAGGGAAGGTGTCCATTTCCTTAAAACGTTTTTATTTCAGAAATTTTCTGTGTAGCTTTATCTCTGTTTCCACAAGTCACCTTTTCATCTGTAAGGACATTGTTTAACATTCACTGCCATATAGGAAAATTGATATTACACAGCCTCTAAACAGCCTTATCTTTGTTGTTAACTAAATGTTCTTATGTCTTAAGAATTTGTGTAGATTCTGGTAGGCATTTTTCAGTATTTCTGTGCGTGTTCGGATTTCTGTAGGTACCTCAACAGACTTTCTAAAAAAGAGCATAGGATAATGAAATAAAAAAAGGCCCTATACTTGATAAAAACAAAATTTTATCAACAGCAGTTTGAAATTTTTTAAATTCTGTATTAATTTCAGTCTTTTAGACGAGTAACATTTATTAATTATAAATAGAAAAGTTTAATACAAATCAACAGTCATCAATATTTTTAAAAGAATTTTTAATTTTTTTGTATGTGTATAAACGTGCAGGTTTTTGTAAGCACGGGCAAATATACACGACATTATCAGAAAATAAGAGCGATAACTATACAACTTTAAACCAACATTTCTAAAAATTAATAAAAAAAATTAAATTACGGAGAATATTTTCCTAATTTTTTAAGATTACTGATAACTTAACACTAGGATGGCCGAGGTGTCGTTTTCGACACCTTCAAATTTTCAACAAATTCCTATGGAATAACTAGTTATGGTTCGATGCTGAGGCTTATGGACAATTATTGAATTTTAGCAAAGATGCTTAACAGACTTAATTCTTTAAAAAATATTCAGTGGAATAGCTGATATTTGAGGTTTTACCTTGAAAGGCCGAGGTGTCGTTTTTCACACCTAGGCTATTTATAGGGTAAATGCATTGAAAAATTTCTCACAAACAATAATACTTGTGTTTATGTCCCCTATCTATCTATTTATCTATCTATCTATACACACACACACACACACACATAATTTATGTGACGTCCCCCGGTGTCGCTGCGCCAAATGTGACGTCTGCCTGGCCGTGCCGCCGTGCTGTCCTGTCCTGTGACGACCAATGTGACTTGGTATTGGTCGCGGCACCAAAACGTGACGTTCTAACCCTTTGCTGATTCGGATGGGAATCTGGTTAGATTCGGTGTCAGCCTCGTCGTTCCCAGCTCACCTCCAACGTCCGGTTACCGAAGTAACTGTTTTGATTTCTAGTCTAACCTACCCACGTTGTGATTTGATCTTAGGTAGACGAAATCAATCAGTCGCCGTGCCGTAATGCAAGCTGAGTCCGGACAAGGGTAACACCGCACAAGTATATGTAAAAGAAAATAAAGTAATAACTCGAAAAGTTCAAATGTGTTAAAAAGGAATAACAATATTTTATATCTGGTTGCGAAATACAGGACTGCATCTTTCTCCCAAACCGCTATATGGATTCGTGACACTTTATGTTTGTTAGGCGAGTCTTAACATCTTAAGTTGTTTGTTCTTTAAGAAACTGGTTCTTGGTGTATCTTCAGGCGATATTCGTAAAACTTGTTTTGGTGATGTGAGTCTAATTCGTTCTTCAAAAATAAATTGTTCTTAGTTAGAAGTTGAGGTCGTGATTTGTCAGCTTCCTGCGAGGCGTCTGCGAGATCTCAGCTCACTGCAACTGCTTAAAACAACAGAGTTCGCAGCTGAGCAGTTGGGGTTAGACACCCCAACTGCTCAGCTGCGAACTCAACTGCCTTCTTACTCGTTGCGACTCTGCTCATATGGACGCCGACCAGAACCGGGATGGGCCTGTCGGGGTTTGAGGTTCCTTGATAATTCTAAATCCGTATTAAAGGTTTTTCTTTGTTTTCGGTCAGGAAGAATTATTATATCAATTTTTGGAAGTCTTTCGTCCTCCCCAATTCTTCCTTTCTCATTTTGGTATCTCACCCATACCCCTAGAGGGTGTCAACGGGTTTCCCCTCTCTCTCACAGTGGCATCTCACACCGATCCCTTCAGGGGGGCATTAACAGGCCTCCCCTGCTTCTTCACATGATTACCTTCGCCTGCCGCTCACGCCATCATTCAGCCAATGGCCACCCAGCAGTGTGGGAGTGGCCAGACTGGCCTCGGTTTAAAAAATCTTGCTCAAAGAAAAAAAAAAATTATCTTCCTTTTTTTTTTCTTTTTCTTTTCTTTCTTTTCTTCTGCCAGACAATAAACTTTAGACTCTTATCCTAACCGAATCACCTGGACTTTATCAATCGAGACTTTTCGCCAGCATCAAGTGGGTGGTCATCTGGCGACCTGGACGCTACAGCCAATTATCTGTTCCGATAAAATAATTTTGCTATCATGGCCAGCTCTTGACAATAAACAGGTGCCTTTTCCAAACGACATCTCCGTAGATAGCTAATGGTTTAATCTTTACTTCCTGGTATTCTGCAGGTGGTCCAACGGACATTATGTTTTTCGGTCAGTGCGTGGTTAATTAATTTTTATCTCTCAGTTTCTGTTTCGTAGGCCACTCGACCAACCTGAAACTTTCATTATTGCCATACTCGGTGCGCCGTCATAAATCAAACGCGACAGATGCGCGACCTTACTTTCTTCGCTAATGAAAATAAAATCTTTGCACTTTTCTTTGTTAAAAAAAAATAACATCGCTTAGTGTCCTTTTCGTGATGGTTTCTTATCACCTAAATTTAATTCTCGCCTTTTCTTTTTTTTCTTTCTTTCTCGCAACCCTATATAGTGTCACATATATATATATATATATATATATATATATATATATATATATATATATATAATCACTTTCTTTCAGTATGAGGTATACTAATATTTGTGAATTTCTTTTCAGACTTGTTATTCCTGATTTGAATATTGAATATATTAAAGATGGCTGCTTCACGGCGTAATGTAAATAAAGATGTCAAAGGATCTGGCCATCCTAGTGTTAAAGATTATATAAAAATGGCGTTCACATCATTTTCTTCAATTATGATTTACAGATAAAGGCTCAGTAGAACAAGCTTAGATCTATCGTCAGGCTGACAAGACGTCAAAATATCTACTGGTTTTAAAACACAGCTACTGTGGGATTAAAAATGCATTTCTGGGATATTTAAACTTAAATTAGATAATATTTGTTTCAAATCAGATTAATTATACATTAAATTAGCTATTATTCCCTAAATAAAGTTTCAGAAAAGTATTATTTTTGAAAGATTTTTTTTTAATAAAGAGAATTGCACTGCGATATAAGACGACTAAAAACTGTTAATCTGCTATTTTAACAGAAACAAAAAATAAAGAAAAATCCTTCTAGTCAATTTAAATTAGATTTTGAAATGCTGAAAAGTATTTCACTATTGGAAATATTAAATTTAACATATTAGCTTGAAATCTCTATATATAAAACAGAGGATGTCTGTGTGTTTGTGTGTCTGTTTTCATTCGAGATCCATCCAACCGGTTTTGACCAAACTTGGCACATGCATCTTACAATGTAAGAAAGAGATAGATTCTTAGCGTAAAAATATCTATAATTTTAAAAAATTCAGTGATCGATAAACCGCTTAAAAATTGGTAAATTCAACCTTTTTCTTCCGATTTCGTACAAAATTGGTATTTAGCTTACTTACATCATGACGAACTCAACGAGACCTCATTTTTATTCATATGCCACTGCGTTTAACGAAAAACGAAAAATCGATTTCAACACAAATCGATTTCAGCATAAATTTTAAACTAAAAACTCTCAATTTTCAAGCAATCTGATACAGAGTTCACTCAATTGCAGCCAACAATATGTTGATTGTTTAACAGTCATTTAAGTTGACAATTGAGTCCACCCATATCGTGAAAACCCGCGTAAATAGCGGAAAATGGCGATTTTTAATGATATATTTCTTATTTTTCGTTGATCTTTCAACAAATTTTCAGCAAACTTAACAATTGCTTTATAAATGTATCATCTTATATATCCCTGGTAGCACACTGACAAATTGAATTTCAAATCTCTAAAATAATTGTGGTCTGATGTGGGTCTTGATGTTGCCTGTTTTACCTCTTCATGTCTTCGGCTATATCAGTAAAAGCATTAATTCAAAATATTCTTTAATGAAAGAAATATAAAGTAATTGAAGAAGATAAAATCTGTTACATCAAAACACGATGCTGTTTTTG